AAATTTATTTATTCAATTCAATATATATTTTATTCAATAAAATCGCCATTGGCTACAACCACAGACGACTTCGGAATCTCTTGCAACTCTTTTGGACTGTCTCCTTGTTTAGGTTGGTGAATACTGACATAATTCTTGCCTTCATTTCATCTTTGGGGTTCAATAGAGTTTCATTGGTCTCTCGTTCAGCTGTTACTCACACATAATATTCAAAGGGGTTGTAGTCTGGGGTGTTAGGTGGCTAGATGAAAGGGGTGATGTGGTCGCAGAAATTGTCTGACAGCCATGACTGGGTCCTCCTGCCTGTGGGGCATGGTGTGAGTTCTGTTGTCAGACATAAGGTCTTCCATCAGCCACCATTTTGACGAAGGGTAGCACTAACTCTTCAAGGCACTTGATGTAGGATTCTGTGTTAAATATGATACTCTCAGCAAAACATTCGGGAGTTCATTTCCTTTCAGAATGATCAGAGTGACTTTTCCGAGCTGCCGTATCTTCGTAATCACCATTAGACTCATCCAACTTTCCAAATCATCTGCGCTGTTCTTAGATTGATCTGAAATGTTCGTATTGGAGCTTCTGTCGCGAATGTCAAGCAGTACAGCATACCGTTTCCCAATCTCTGATGGACTGAATCTTTTTCTTACAGATGGTGCCAACTGAACTTAGTATACTGTGCAATCGACAAAATCAAAGACAAACAACACGCATGCGCGAAATTAAAAATATAAAATGGCGGCAATTTATCCATCGCAACCTTTATGGATGTGGGTATGTATCATCCGATTTATTCATAGCTCTTTCTCTGATGATCTATCTATCTATCTATGGTGGACTCTACCGTCGTATTCGACAGCCCAGACATCAGCAGATATGATTTGACTATAGTGAAGTTTTTTGTGCAGAACCAACCACACATTTAAAGAGCACTACATACTACATGGTGCCCAAACAACCCTCCGCAGGTTTTGAATTCAGAATTGTACTTCTCCTAGAAGAGTTGCCATCCAATGCTATAGAACCCAGGCTGTCCTGCTATTTACCAAAGAGGATTAGTACCTTTCACAAGGGTATTAGCACTTAAGTGAATGTAATGGATTCAACTAGAATTTGAACTTTGCTCTCCGATTCCTCAATCCGAGACGCCATCCATTATTCTACCATGCTTCTCTCTCTCTCTCTCTCTCTCTCTCTCTCTCTCTATATATATATATATATATATATATATATATATATATGTATGTATGTATGTATGTATGTATTCCTCTCTCTAACTCCTTTTGTCGTTCTGCTTTCTCTTTCTCCCCACTTTAATTCTTAGTGCATTTGTGAATGTGTGTGCACCAATGTGTGTTTGTTTATCTGTCTATCTAGCTATCTACGTTATCTATGTCTCATTATCAATTTACCTCGGCCTCTATATACCTATCTTATAAATACATATCTATCTATCTATCTATCTATCTATCTATCTATCTATCTATCAGTATGTTTTTCTGTCTATCTATCTATTTACTAGTATATCTATCTATCTACCAGTATGTTTATCTGTCTATCTATCTATTTACTAGTATGTCTATCTATCTATCTATCTATCTATCTATCTATCTATCTATCTACCAGTATGTTTATCTATCTATCTATCTATCTATCTATCTATCTATCTATCTATCTATCTATCTATCAGTATGTCTATCTATCTATCTACCTACCAATATGTCTATCTATCTATCTATCTATCTATCTATCTATCTATCTATCTATCTATTTACTAGTATGTCTATCTATCTATCTATCTATCTATCTATCTATCTATCTATCTATCTATCTAATCATCTGTCTATCAGTATGTCTGTCTATTTTGTATTTACGTTACATGATCTATTTATATTGACCTCTTCATATTTGTCTGTATAAATACATTTATTTATCCAACTATATATCTCTCTATCTGATTCTATGTCAGTCTCTCTATCTTTCTGTCTATCTATACGTCTATCTGTATGTCTGTATTTATTTTCCTTTAATTATCTATTTATATTGGCCCCTTCATATTTGTCTTTGTAAATATATCAACAATCTATGTATCTCTCTCTCTCTCCCTCTCGCTATATATGTATATTTATTATAAGGGCTATCTGCGTGCCATCTGTGGAGTTAGCCTTCAAGACAGGATATCCAGTGACCTGTTTAACAGCAGGACATCCAGTGACCAGTTTATTGGAGGAATCGAGACTTTCCTCATACAGTCTCAGTTGTGGTGGACTGGTCAGGTCTTGAGAATGTCTGATGACAAGATACCCAAGATCCTATTGTATAGCCAGTTAGATCAAGGCTACACGAATGTAAGACGCGTATTGCTTAGACGCAAAGACAAGCTGAAGAGCAACTTGTCAGCTGTCAATATACCTCATAACACGGAGCGCTTAGCCTTACAGCGGGTAGAGGGAGAATCAACAGGTTTTAGTGGACTCAGCGGTTTTCAATCTGATAGTCTGAA